AAACTTCAAAAAAGGAGGTTATCAATTCGTCGCGATATTTTTTTTTTTTTTATGTATGTTCAGCGATTATTCTTTAACACGGTGTCCGATTTCAATAATTCTTTTTTTGTTAGAAAGGGGCTACTTTAGGGGTGGTCCCATATAAATTTGGTCAAAATCTAATAATTGGATCCATGAGAAAATCCTCAATGTCTTCATTTTTTATGTATGTTTAGCGATAATGCTTTACCACCTTGACCGATTTATAAGATTCTTTTTTTTGTTAGTAAGGGGGTACCTCAGGGGTGGTCCCATATAAATTTGGTTAAAATGTGGTGATGGCATCTGCACGTTTTTGAAGTCGGGTTTTTTAAATTTTTAATTTGTAATACTTGTAATAGTCGCAAGTCTCTTTTTAGTGCTAAAATATTACATTTGAATTGATGTCATAAGTTTGTCAAAATAACATTAATAACTTCAGTAGTAACCATAAAACAATATTACTGACTTATTAACAGAAATGATATTTAAGTTATACAAGTCACTAAGAACAGACACCGTTATTGAGGACTAATTAGTAAATGATTTATTTAATTTATTCTTTTTTGATTGATAACATTATAGTAATAAAGATAAAGAAAAACAAAAAACTAATATCAACCCGGAAAACAACTTTTTTGACTAAATATCACTCGACCAGCATCCAGGTTTACGAATGAATTTTATACTTCGACAGTTTCCATTAGAAACTAAAATCGGGATAGTGTTAAAAATAATTTTCTCTTGTTTTTCTTTGGATATAATTCAATGCCTATTGCGGTATTAGCCAAAGGAATAGTTTTTTATTAAATTACTTAATTATTTGGGTTTAAATAAATTCAAGGGTAAGTCTAGATCTGTCTTGTACCAAAATTTGGTCTATAGTATTACTATAAATCTAATGGCCTTTTCGGTAACCTATTTAAATAACCCTTTGTCGACGAAACAATTTATTTCTATCTTCTTGATAAATTTTCCGAGCAATTACTTTTTTCTACCCCCAAGTTAAGTAGCTTTCTGAAAAGGCCATAAAAAACTTGATTTTTTATTGATGATATTTTCGTTAAATTGATTTGGGATGCATTATATATTTCGATTTTATAATATTGACGTAAAGCAACGTATTTTGACATTTTTAACTATACTTTCGTAATAATTATACTGCCGACTTCATTTTTTCCGTATTTGACTAATATATTTTTTTACTTTACCACTTACAAGAATTGCATTGATTTATTATTCTAAATTGATTATACTGTACATTTATCAAGCTACCATCGTTTTAAGAAAATGAATTCTCTGTTTATTTCCAATTTCTGGTTGTTTAAACATGTGTATCTATAGTTGAGTCACCGAAATTATAGACATCACTGAACAATCGGGTTGTCTTGCTGGCTGTTTGTAAAATCGGAAGGTTTATTTACATACTATACTGGTACCTGCTTTGATGTATATTTTCGGCGACTCGATTTCACCATATTAGTCGACCTTTTACTATTTTTCAAATGTTCCATTTTCTTTATAAGTGTAAAAACTAAGCATGCGATTCATTTATATTACATTCATATTTTAAATTATTTTTCTTTTTAATGAAATTAATATTTTCAAAATTAAGGCCGCGGGAACCAGAGTTTACAAACTTTACACTAAAAATTTAATAATTATGACGAATTCGTATGACGAAACACATACCCTAACAAAGTAGTAAACATAAAAAAAAATAGTATATTGTTTAAGGAGCAATGAAACTACTTCAGCTCTTTGAACATCTCTCGGCACCTGTTTTTATCCATCTTTATTTTTATTTCTGTTCCGACAAGCTCCCTTGGCGTGTAATCCACGTATCATAACATAAACAATTTAGATTTCCCATAAATACATCATATTATAACTAAGTGACTGAAATAACGCATCGCCAAGTAAAAGTGTATATTTTTTCAATACATCCGCATGTGTTTATAGGGTAAAGAATAACAATTGTTTAAATTTTCATTGGAAAACTCTCATCATGTATCAATCAAATTCCGTTAACACCATAAACAGAAAATATATTTAAAAAATATAAACATTTAGTGGGTGATGTTTTTTTGTCACATTGTATATATTCTATAACTACTTGATCCGGGCCCAAAAAAGATTATGTCTCGGTTAGTAGCGTTGTCAGTGGGATTTGTTTCCACCTCATTGAGTAAAATAAATAAAAAAATCCCCTTTGCAGTAATGTCCAATTTATAAACTCTCCATTGGGCTACTAGTTCTCGTGGCCTTAATTATTTAATAACATGATTTAACATTTTAAACTGATTTCATATACAAAAATGGTTAGAAGTAAATTTCACTCTTGTCTTCCTCTATTATTTATAGTTTAATAAAATAAAATATTCTACATACAAAGAACGGGGCGAAATTAGATCAAAATGTAAAAGTATAATTTTTCAGGAATTTTTTAATTGTTTTACCTTTCTTGAACACTTTTCTATGGTTCTTCTCAGCATTTTTGGCTTGTATGACATCACTACCATATGAAACGAATTAACAGACATATATTACTAGTAAGTTCCGTCTCTACCAAGAGGGCTCGAATCCAGGACCTCCGACCTGATCGGTGCCCTGAAATGCCTTAACTCAGAGTGGAACAAAAGTCTGAAAACGCCTAAATATCTTATATTGGGAGTTGGACGTTATTTGTCTTTGTTCACCGAGACCTTTTCAGATCTATTGTGGGACTCCGTTTGTTTTAGAGTATGTCGTCTAGCCTGGTCTTTTTATTAGACTTAGTAGCTTTGACAGTGGCTCACGCATGTAGTTGCGTGCATTTGGCTTTTCTTCGCTCAATGTTCGAAACATCATTACAGCCAGGCCTTCACATTGGCACAGGACGTGGAATGATGTTTCCTCTTATTCTTCACAGAACCTGCACAACGTTGCTTCTTCTGCTAGATTGATGACACTCATGTGCCTTTTAAGGCGACAGTATCTGGTAAGAAGACCTACTGTTATCCTAACGATTTGACGCTTTTGATCGAGTAGGTCTTTCGTAAACTTGGCCGATGGTTCCTTGATGAACTGTTTGGCCTGTCTCAGTCTTGGATAGTTGTTCCACCATTCCTGAGACTATCTGGATCCATTGTTTAATGGATGTCTTGCACAATGCCTTAGCAACTCCACAGAAGGGTTCGGGGCCTGTCATGGCCTTATCGGGCTAATTCCTTGGCCTTTTCGTTGCTCCGATGGTTAGTCCGAATTGTACAAAATTTTGAATAAGGAGATTCCAGATATGACATTTGCAATGTTGCCATATTTATTGTTTTTCTGATAGTATTAGTTACTTTAGTTTTTTAAGTACATATCCCTGTGTGTTGTGTTATTATTGGAATCTCTCCTTCAATACGAGTTCAACCATATGTAACATTTGATGTAGTCAGGGTACTAATTATTTTAAAAATCGGTCCAAGTTGCATATGGTCAATTAAATCTAGAATGCTGTGATTTTAAGATTGGTTCACCAGTTACATTATTAACTAAAACTGACAGTAGTTTGACGTGTTTTGAAAAGTCCTGCTAGGTAAATTGTCGCTCTGAGATGGTTCCCAGTCTTTTGTTTTATTAATTTAAGAACTTCCTGAGGACTTAGAATCTCAAGCATTACATTTGGTTAACTCGTATTGAAGGGGAGATTCAAAACTGACAACATTGCAAATGTCAAATCTTAAATCTCCGTATCCCAAATTTTGTACAATTCGGACTACCCATTTATGAGATGATTAAGCGTTTCCAAACTGTTCCACTCCGTTTATTTTTCCAATTATATTATATTTTGACAGATTGGTTTCTTAGTTCAATGCATATTTAAGAAAATAGATGCAAAACCATGTCCTCTAGCGGTCACCTACATTAGCACTACCTATAGTGTCGCAGACATGTATTATCGCACGCTATACGGTAACATGCCAAATTTTATCCATAATTTGACAATTCATCAAATCAGAACACTTGAAAGATTTTATTTATAAGAAATTTTGGTTATTTATCTTCATTTAGAAATGCATTGTAACAATAATTGAATCAGTAATATATCATCACTTCAATTTACGTACAACTTTGCTGTCACTTTGACAGTAGGTGAAAAAACAAAATTACAGACGTTTTCTCGTTTTGTTTGCTTTCTAAAAGGGCTCCAAAACAAATACGGCTCTGACTAGTAGTTGAGATAAGTTTTCAACTGTATCGTTTTTCCACACATTTTGTGATTAGTACTACAATCTAATAAACAAAACAATTGAATCAATCAATTTCCCATGGTTTAACCAAAGTATACAAAATCTTGTGGTTTGCCACTGACACTGTGTGGAAAAGTCACCCCTTGCGTATATATAAGAAAATGTTTCATGAAATGGTGGGATGAGACATGGAAATGTAGATCTGACATCTTTCTCTCTACAAGAGCTATTATAATAGGAAGGAACAATTTTCAGATTTGCTCTCTTACAACTATACGAGAGAGATTCTGAAAGTAATTTGCATAATGTTTCAGGTACATGCCAAAAACGCTGAAATAAACCAAATTATCATCGATTGAATATCAAGAGACATGACTTCGATTAATCTTTGTACTAATAGTTCATCTATAACAAAATATCAAATTGATTTATTCATTAAATTGTAATCTGCAAACTCGTTTACAGTGCAAAAACCAGATTTTTCATTCTTGAGTTATAAGTTTATTTTTTTATTGAACAAAATTTTAGGAATTTGAAATCTACAGATTTCTAGTTTATTAATATCCCGAATTATAAATATAACAAACCTTAATGACTTTCTATATTCCAGCTACTATATTTTCAGTTTTTAATAAAAATTTATAGATTAAAGTGCTTTTTATTTTAATACATTTTTTACCTTTTCAACAAACCTAGTAAATAATTATTCATTTACTGATCAGCGTTGTAGTAATAGAATTGAACTATAATAAAACTCGCCACTATTGAATTTAAAATATTTTTTTAATTGCTAAAAAAGATAAAAAGAAATACAATATATTCAAATGCTATCTATCCAAAAACTTTTTCTCTTCGTGGGCCTTCGCAAAACGTCTCTGCATTCGTCTTCGAACGAGCTGTCGGCAAAAACGAACTTTGATTTACCCTTTGGTCCGGATTTCGAAAGGGGTACAGGAGGATTGAAAGCCATTTCTGACATGTCGAATTGCGTGCACAATTGCTCAGGCGTACTAAAAAGAAATTTACGGTAAGTATGAGATTTTGTTTCTGTTTAATAATAATAATAGCTTTGTTCGCGGTAAGAATCCTGAACCGAATTATTACTATTAACGACTTCGCAGGCGCAGTAGTTAAAAAGCGGCACAAAGAGAACTGAACTGTTGATTCTATCCTGCGTTTTAAACCGCTTGCATATACGTGAAACACAGAGATATAATAGGGATTGCGCGCGCGAAAAATTCGGAATTTATAATTAATCGGGCATGCGCCTAAAGTATGAATTAGTAATTCTGAATCAGTTTACGATTGTTACCGCTAACGAAGCTATTAAATCTGCTTTATTCATTATCACAAAAACAGTATTAAAAGTAAGAACATAAAAATACAATATTTTTCTAATTTTGACATGTAACATTTTTGTAATCGCAGCAAATATCAAAATGATCTACTTTCCGCAACCAGTTGTATAATGTTGAACCTTATGAAACTGGTTTCGAAAAATGTTACGGAGATGCTTCCGTGTTTGGCAATGACCCCAGTCTGTGCCTGTGATCAAGCGCAGATTCTATCTAGTGTTGTCTAAATAACTTTGCAGCTGGGGTCCTATTTCATAAAAATACTTTGCAACTTTTTGACGAGTCAAAAAGTAGCAACTTTTTGACGAGTCAAAAAGTAAAAGATGAAAAATAAAAAATTAATAATCTGCAAAGACAACGATATTATTGTATGAAATACAAGAACTTTGCACTCGTAATTTTGCAAAGTGAAAATAGTTTTATGAAATAGGGTCCAAGTCCAAGAGATATTTGGTAACTGCCTTCTTTGGCTAGTGTATCGGCACCGTGACTTTGAACCATTTTAAGGTGACCACATTGTTGGTGAATAATTTGGCCATTGTTTAAAGACTCTAAGCAATGGTTTGGCCAAAGTACTACTTTTGACTAAATTCGTGGTATACCTAGGATGAGTAGTGCTTGCCTGATATTAGTATAGATGAGGATGTTTATTCCAGTGATATTGTTTCTGGAAACTCTTCCTCTTGTTGTTATAAAAGTCCCCGTCCCCTTGAGCTAGGTTTAAACTAAACATATTTTAGGTTTAAGGATCTGGAGTATACTCCACATCTTGAACCATGTTTTGTTTTAGAATCGTCAGGCCCGATTACAATTAGAAAAACACAGGTCCGTCATTACTTGCCAAAGTAATTCATTGGCGATTGCCGCCTACGGGGGGTTTAGTGGCGTGTTAATTCAAGGTTAGAAAATATGATATATAAATATCAAAATATCGGATATATATCAACTTCCTGATATTTATTTTTATAAAGTATTTCTTAAATAAGATCAATAAATTAAACGAATTAAAAAGGCGATTTCCCAAATTTATTGAAAAAAGTAAATAAGATTCAAAAACAAAGAAAATAAAAAAAGCTAATTAGTTAAAAAAATGATCAAAGGTTCGTCATCTGAATCAAAAGGAATCTCCTGTACAGACGCAGTGGCCCATCCCATATCCATTCTATATTGCTACTGTTGCAAGCTTTAGCTGTAGACGCATGCTCTCTGTTTAAATATTTAAACAAAAAAACAAATTTGGCTATTTTGTCACGTTCAAATGGAGTTCTTAATTTTGATTGTACCAAAGCCGAATGTTAAAAAATATCTTTCGAAGAATGCTGTCGATGCAATTGCTGTTAGTAACTTCTCACAAAATTTTAGAAAATTTTCTTTTTCTGTAGGCTAACCGGTAAGGCATAATGACTTCCACTACACCAATGGACTGGTGTTGCGGAATTGTAGTCCAAACATATATTTAGGAAATGGGAGTGAGTTAGATGGTAAAGCCATTAGAAATGGCAAAAATCTTCCTTCTTACTGGCAATAAATGCATATGATTCTTCTTTCTGCTTGTTGTTTAATCATTGTCCAATAAATCTATGATCCAACATATTTGCTGCAAAATGAGCATCTCCTAACGCCATATTTCTACGCTTGTGAAAATGTTTTTTTAACTTAAGTGGTTGATCTTGAAAATCTTTTTCTAATTTATTCCAAATTTTAACAGCCACGGAAATAGTTGTTTAATGCTCTTTGCATTCGATCAAGAGCCACTGCAATTGGTGTTAAGCGGACTACAAGATCAACAACGTTCTTTGCGACATGGATATCGTTTACAATTTTAATATCAATATCATCTTTATTGTCTTGGCATATTTGCACAAGTATACCTCTATTATCTAAATATGATTTGATTGCGTTACTCATTGTGTTCCATCGTACCTCCTGGGGCATCACTAGCTTTTTGTTTTTCCCCGCGCTTATTTAAATAATGCAGCAGGAAAATGTTTATTTCTAAAATATATTTTTAAGATCCAGGTGAATTTTTTGTACGTTAGCGGCATTGTCCGTTACAAAACTCCTACTACTTAACTTGAAAATCTTGAGCAATTTTTATAGCTTATAGCAAGATCTCTTAAATTTTTTGCAGTATGACGATCTACGCCTGTGTCTACACAATCTATCAAAATAGATTCTCCATTTGAAGTCACTATGCTGCAACAAATAAATGGTTCATTGTGGATATTACTCCTACCATCCATTGACATACACACTAGAATTTTCAATTTTATTTCTGCAATCAGTTTTAACTTCTTTGTGCGCAGTATTTAAAATAGTATCACTTATTTGCTTTGTAACCTGGGCGTATTTGTGGCATAAAAGTATCTATCTATTTGCTTGTTAATGATGATTGAATGTTCTTTGGACATCGCATAAAAAGTACGGTAAACGTTTGGTACTTTGAACAGAATAAGCAAAGTTAAGTAAGAATATTATGGTTTTGTTTTTAATTCACTTCAGAGCCACATATAAATAGGAAGCAGTACTACAGATCGCAGAGAACTGTGATTCGGTATATGTAAATCTGTGATTCTATATTACAGGGGCCATGCACGGTAACTTGAGTTGAGCGGTACGGTAATTAAAAATTGCAAAGTTGGCAACACTGGCCTGGTATTAATTAACGATTGGCTACGAAATGTTAACGCAGTGTCGTACATTTCAGTAAATTTATAAATATCCGTGATATATATCATTGCTTATAAATACCGATATATATCATAAATATGGGCGATATATATCGGTCGAACCCTGGTTGTTAATATTATAGAAATGCAGTAAATATTTGTTTTTATACCTAACAGACTTATTCTTTATTAATTTAACAGTTACATAGATATTTATTTAAAATTCGAAATAATGGTTATGACGTTACGGTGTTCTTGTTGTAATCGGATCCTACCTGCCATTTGCGGCTATTCCATTTATTCCGTTATAACTTTATATGGCCTATAAAAGGTATATCTTGGCGAGGTGGAGTCCATGTTCGCTTGAACCAGTGAAAGCGTATTAAACGCCTCCCGCCAAAAGCAACGTCTTGCCTCACCAGCATAGGAATCACGACACTCGATCTCGATTAATCGACTGAAATGTATTCATGACATTCGAATAATCGTCTCGATTCGATCGCAATTTCTCGACTGCTTAGAAGGTGTAGAGTAGTGCAATTTTGAGGTTAAGTTTAAGAAACAAAAATGCTTCCTATTGTTCACCAAGTTTTATTAGAAAGACAACGTCGACGAGAAAATTTGGCCTTAATAAGAGAAAGACGTTTGTTACGACGGAACAGCGATCCTTTTCTTCTTGTGGATAGACGTTTTATTGAATTATTTCGCCTCAATAAAGTCTTAGTTCGCGAATTAATAGACACTTTACGACCTCATCTACACCAAAGACAGGATTTTAGGGGCATATCGATTGATAATATGGTTTTATGTGCCTTAAGGTTTTATGCTACTGGTTCATATCATAGATGTGTTGGTCAAGAGTATATTTTTGGAATGGCTCCAGAGTACTGTGCACAAATATGTTCATATTACGCTATTGCTAGGTACACGCTAAAGTGTACACAAATCAAAAAATTATATACACGCGAAACGTCATATTGCTGTGGTGGGAGGTGTTTGTGTGAATGCGTCTTGTTTTCATTTACTCCGTGACTAGCACAGTAGTATTTTATAAACCTTAAAAGCAAATTTCACATACATGAACAAATAATAATAATGCCGTGACAACAAGAAAACGAAGTAATGACTTCTCGTAGGGTGGCGGCTTCGCCGCCACAAAAAAAATTCAATCTGTACCTAGCTACGACCGGCGCACAGCTCACCTACTCTGTCAAGACGTTTCGCATGTATATAAATTTTTGAATTGCGTACAAGTTAGCGTGTACCTAGACACTGTGTTCATATTATCACCAATTTGATGATAGATCGCGTAGTAGGCACTAAAATAAAACAACTGTAAATGAACAAGATATTATTAAATTAGTTTTTAAATAGATGGGGATTTCCTGGTACAGTTGGTGCTACAGACGGAACTCATATTGCAAAACGAAAAACGAACAAGTAATCAATGCAGTCACACGACACATAACGCAACTGACACAGAACATTACATTTGTCTTGGTAGTAGTTCAAATGACTTCAAAAACCGACAATAAACGAAACGAGTTTCATGTTTCGAATTGCGGTCGAGTCGAACGTCGAATTGTACGATTGAGTCGAATCGAGTGTTGTGATTCCTATGCAGATCCTACATCAGGTTCTATTCCAACCGTATATTCATGTCATCATCAAAGCTACCTCCTTGATGTAAATATTAAGGGGAGTGGGACGACTAAGAATGACTTTTTCCATGGCTCTGGTTGGTGTGGTTTTCATAGTTCCTGTTGTTGAGACATGTAGTTCTTTGAATTTCTTCTAATTTGTGGATAGCTGTCGATTATTGAGTTTTCGATACCCAGACAACTGCAGACATTTGTGATGTAAGTTGTCCTAAAACTGAAATTTTCCATATCTTCGTTGTTAACTACTTAAGATTGATGTTTTTTTATTGGTAAGTCTCTACAAATTTTTTGTAGCAATTTGAAAACGTGTAAGATATGCATTACG